ACAATTGGATCCAATAGCCACTAACCTTCCTATAATTCTTCTCTAAACACAAATTCTATATGAATTCAAATCTGCAAGAAGTCTGAATCAATCAATAACTTTCTTTCTTTTCCTCAAATTCTAGACTACAAACAAACCACAATGCAGCTTCAACATAGCAAAACAAGTTCTTTTCTTCATTAATTTTCATCCTAATTGAGAAGAAAAAAAAAAGTTTCAATCTCACAAACACTTGAGAAGAGTCAGTTCAACATTTGAAGAGTCAGTGTATTCCAACTGCCAGCTCTGTCTTCCCAAAGTGATCTCCAGGTCAGGCATTTTCTTCATCATGAGCTTACTGCTATCAGACGAGATGAGCCTCTCCTTAGCCATATTTCTTTCCTCCATTTGCAGCTGCATTGATGAATTTAAGGCTCTTATATCTTCTTTTCCCCATTTTTCCTGCTTCAATGTCCCAAAAGGTGTCAGAGATTTTAAATTAAAAATAACTCAGAATATTACATATTAAACATATTCATCAAATATATTCTTTGCTGAGTCTGCTATTAATCAAAATTAAATTTGACTTAGGCTTCGTCTGGGACGGCTTTCTTACTGCTTCTTAAAACAGTTTTTTAGTTTAAAATTTATAATTTTTGTACTAAAAAGTTACTTTAAGAAGCAATAAAAAGTCTTCCCAAGGCTTCATTTGAGACAGCTTTCTTATTGTTTTGTAAAACAACTTTCTATTATATAAATTTATAATTAAAAAAAAAATTTATGCTAAAAAATTGCTTGAGAAAGCAGTAAGAAAGCTATTTCAAACAAAACCTTAAAGCCTCTTTGTAATGGATGTAATTTTTTTATAAAGATAGGGAAGTGACTTTTTTAAAAGCTGATGTATAAAAAAAACTTTGTAAAACAACTTTTGATCAGTACAAAAATTTATGGTTCAAAAAATATTTGTACTAAAAAACTGCTTTAAAAAACAATAAAAAAATTGTCTCTAATTAAGCTTAAGTTTGATGATATCTCTAAGAAATTAGTAATATAGCATGAGCTTCGATATACTACTAATTACCTGCTGATTTTCTTTGCTTAGGAAACTGTCACTTCTAAGCAGTGTAAGTGATGGCACTCTTCTCATCAACGATGAATTCCAACCATTTTCTTCTAAGAAAAAGTAAGGCTCTCTGCTAAAAAAGAATTTAAAGTTTGATTAAATCAAAGCTAATTTTGATCATAAAATAAATAAAAGCCAATAAATGTCTTATATTGAGAAAACCAATGGTTTATTTTATTTTATTTTATTTTTGGGCCATTTGAGTCATTAAGGCAAATTCACACATATATCACATAATTAAGCTTCGAATCAAAAACCTCTTAGTTAACAGTAAAGCCCCCAACTAACAGGTGAAGGCTTCATGTGGGATGGCTTTCTTAATTACTACTTCGGCTGCATTTGGTACGGCTTTCTTATTGTTTTCTAAAGCAGTTTTTAAGTACACAAAATTTTAGAACTAGAGAGTTTTATACTATAAATATGCTTCAAGAAGTAGTAAGAAAGCCGACGTCCCAAACAAAACGTTCTTAAAGCAACTTTTTAGTACAACAATTATAATTTTCGTACTTAAACACTATTTTTTAAGAAGCATTAAGAAAGCCATCCCAAACGAAGAAGCCTGATATGAGCTGTGTAAACCAATGGTTTTCACTTACAGTAAAAACTAAAAAGTATCCATACTTTCTAAAAGAAGCAGCTTCAAATAAATGTGTTCATTCAAAGAAGCATTTTGTCAAAATAAGTACTGTGATATTTATCATTCACTTGTCTGTAAACCAGCACTAGAGCAATGGGAGCTATAGGTCTCCTCCAATACTAACAAGCTGACAGCGACAATCCAACGGCATCCAAAGATAAATGTGCAAAATGATAATTTATTTCCACATTATTATTTTAATAAATCACTTTTCTCAAATGCCAATTAATTATTTTGGGAGGATTTACAAAAATATCCTATAATTTTTATATTTTCACATATATAACATCTAAATTTATGTATTTATTTACATATTTTTTAATATCTCAATCATTTCTTATATATGTGTTTTTTTTTATATCAAGGTCAGTTAAGGCTTTGTTTGGGACATCTTTCTTTTTTGTTTATTAAAGTAGTTTTCTACTAAAAAATTTATACTAATTAAAAAGCTACTTTAAGAAGCAATAAGAAAGCCTTCTCAAACAAAATCTAAGTTAAATTCGACTCGAATCTAAAACCTCTTTGTTGATAGTCAAAGCTCCTAACGGACAAATCAAGATGAGCGTAAAACTACTGGCAAAGTGTCCTTTTGTAGATAAGGCTGGTGGAGTTTAAAGTTCAATCTCTCATAGTTTGAAATTTTAATAAAATTTCAGTAACTGTGACTGTGAGTCTCCTTGTAAAACATTGTAACTTTCCCCATGGATAGTACTAGAGAAGCAGACAGAGAGATGGGAACTATTTAAAGGTATACATTTATGAAAATAAATGCAACTGAGGAGAAAATTAAAACTAATCTATGCACAATAATATTTTGAAAATTTCATCTGTCCAATAAATAGAAACTTAAAAAATTATATATACATATATATTATAGTATGAATTTTATAAATACTACTGAGGACACAAGTACTAGAGAAGCAGACAGAGAGATGGGAACTATTTAAAGGTATACATTTATGAAAATAAATGCAACTGAGGAGAAAATTAAAACTAATCTATGCACAATAATATTTTGAAAATTTCATCTGTCCAATAAATAGAAACTTAAAAAATTATATATACATACTACTGAGGACACAACATTGTGGTTAGGGACTAAGATTTCGTTTGGGATAGCTTTCTAACTACTTCTTAAAGCTGTTTTTTGGTACAAAAATTTTATTTTTTGCACTAAAAGCTGCTTTAAGAAGCAATAAGAAAGCTGTCCCAAACAAAGCCTATGATTTTGTTTGGGAGAGTTTTTTTATTGCTTTATAAAGTATCTTTTTAGTATAAAATTTTTTCGAATTAAAACTCTTTGTACTTAAAAACTGCTTTAGAAAGAAGAAAGAAAACTGTCACAAACGAAGCTTACTTTTGTCAATAATAAAATCATACTAAGGCTAAATTATAAACAAAGGGTGTTATCATTTAGCATGTACTCTCATTCACATCATATTTTGAAAAAAAATTATAAACTTCTTAATTACTCATTAACTATGGAGAGAACGAAGATGCTTGATTGATAAAATAATGATTAAGAGTACTTGGTGAATGTCTTATCACAATCTTTCATCAATTTCTCCATTTTCTTAAGTCTATATTGTATGAGTACTAATCATGAAAATATACATATTTTTAGTGAAAACATATAAATTAAGTTTTTTTTTTTTAATTTAAGAAACTTATAAATTCAATTTTATTATTGAAAAAATAAATAATATAGTTTATTAAAACATATCTATTATTTAATATATATTAAAAAATTCATGTACCTGTTTATGCCCATATTCTCTTATATAAAGCATACACCTCTCAATCATTTATTAATATTGAACAATTCAAATTTCTTCAGCTAATTTTGACTCCCTTTATTTATTTTTGTGCATTTGTTCTGCCATCTTTCTTTATGACACATCACATGACTTGTTCTTTCAGTCAAACAGTTTGTTACATAACACAACAGCTATAAATGCAACGTTATTATTATTATTTTTTAACGAAGCTAGTGTACAAGAACAGTTTGGCATTTAAATTTCAAAAGGTAATTATCAAAATTATAGAAAATTTTATCTCTAGAGTCTTATGTTTTATTTGGACGGTTTTCTTATTACTTTGTAAAGTTATTTTTAGTAAAAAAAAATTCTTAAAAACAAAGAAAAAATAGTAGCCTAAAGGGTTCCAAATAAAGATTTAAATAACGAATCAATTCTTTCTTCATTTGGGATGATTTTCGTACTACTTCTTAAAGCGGTTTTCTAGTACAATAATTAGAATTTTTTAACTAAAAACCTACTTTAAGAAGTAGTAAGAAAGCCGCCCCAAAGGGAGCCTCATTCCCCAGGAAAATTATTACGTGTGGCATCCAGATTCATCTAGAGGTGGATCCGAACACGCCATGTCACCAGGGGATCAGTTCATCCTGATGATGTGGTGCATCCAGATTCACCTCCGAACAGTCTGAACATCACACTAATAATCTCTCAATTCCCTGAACCAAAACAGCTAGCTAGGTCGTCAGTCAATATCATAACTAATTTATTCATCATTTTCGCATTTAATATTCAAATCCTCGAGCCATGTATTATTAAATAATCCTCAAGTTTGAACTCTGACCCAGCTAATAACTCCATCAAGTTGCATCCAAGGAAAAACAAAGGTATTTTATTAAATAGAGATTAAACTAAGCAGATATTGTCAGCTTTTTGGCTTTGCAGACAAATGGCATATAGAACTAGAGAGTTCATGTTGGACATTTGCAACAGGAATGTCAAATATTGATTTATATAATCCACTATGGAGATCGAGTAATTAAGACCAAACTTTAGTTGGAATAGTTTTCAAAACTCTTAAATTTTGTTTGAGATAAGTACACTACAGGAAAATGCTCAGTTACCGACGGACCAAACTTTAGTTGGAATAGTAAGCCGGTGCAAGGAATATTTTAAACACCAACGAGAAAACTGACGGAATATGCGCGAGTATTCTAATGGCTACTGTCGCATATTCCGCTGATTAGGTTAGTCCGCCATTTTTCTAGCGTATGTCTATAACCTGGAAAGACTGACGGTAATGACAGATTTTCTTGTAATGATATAATAAATTAAAATTCTTATATGAAAGAAAACCGAAGTTTTAATTAATGCTATATACTTAAAAAATTTCAGTACCAATGAACAATTTCTAAGAAAACTTTTTCTATAAAGTATCAAAGCATATTATTGCAGAAAATAAGAGTTATTTTCACTGTGATTTAAGATGAGATAAGTTAGAGTGGACCTGTGCAGTGGCGTAGGTGGAGTTGGTGCACTGAGGGAATAAGAAGAAGAGTTGATTCCAGCTTTTTGATCAAATGGCAGCTCTCCCTCCACTTCTAGCATTTGGCTCAGCCCCATTTCTGACTGCCCTCGCCCTTGTCCTGCAAAACATTTCACATCAGCAACACTAACTTACAAAATATGCTTGAGATCTAGTTTTAATGGTCACCAAACAGAATAATTCGTCAGAGGAAAACTCCACAGCCTGCAACAATGGCTTTTCAACTCAGAAAATTATTAACTAGCTATTCCATCCTATATACAGGCTAAATACAAAAGCCATAGTATTATACCAGTGGCAGCTCCTCCTCTGTCTGTCGTCTTCACAGTTCTATACATCTGATAAGAGTTCAAAGGAAGAAAATATCATTTGTGCTCTATTATTAGCTGCTCTACAAGAAAACCCTAACCCTAACTCAGTAAAAGCAAAAGGAATGAATAAAAGAACAACTTGTTTTGTTTTGTTTTTTATTATCTCACCTGGAGATGGCTCTTAACATGTGCAAGTGTTAGATCCTTCACATTCATTAGCTCTAACACAGATTTTGGCGTAGCTCCTACAAAACAAATTGAGCTAAGGATTGAAAGAACTTAAATGGCAATAAATTCTTTCAAAGGGGAGGTTTAAGGACCTTTAATTTAGATCATAATCATGAAGAAAAAAAGCTAATTTGAGGACTTACTCTCATGGCCGCCCAGAAGCTGGACGGCATGGACGAAGTGGGCATGGAGTGAAGTCGTCCACCGCATCCTCGGCGCACGACTGCTTCTCTTCCCTCCATGCCCAGTTCTAGAACTCCTCTTGAATCCATTGATATGAGTACTGTTATTAAGATTGGGCTTGTTCGTCGTTGGCGCCGGCGATGATATGGCCTCGAGGACCAGACTCAGAGTTGGATCTGCCTCATCAGTTGTGGAACTACTGAGGGATCCATAGAAATGCCTTGAATCTGCGGCGAAGGAGATCGCCGGAGGACTGATTTGAAGAGAGAGGTCAGGAAAGTTGGTGGCGGTGGTTGCAGTTGTCATTGGAGAGGAAAGTGAGATGAACAGGTCATACAAGGAAGTGAGTGGTGAAGATTGAATAGATAAGTAAAGGGAAATTAAGGAGTCGACCAGCGAGAGAAGATAGTGAAATAATTGAGAGAAAGTAGCAGAGAAGAGCAAAAGGGAGAGGAGGTGAAGTTAGATAAATATAGAGAAATGAGTTGTGATTAGGTCATGAGTGCCTTATGATACCAATTGATGTAATAAAGAGTGCACAAAACCATAGAGAATAGAGAAGAGAGAGAGATAGAGAGAGAGAGAGAGAGAGAGAGAGAGAGAGAGAGAGGAGGTGCAGGGAGGAGCTATAATACTTCCTTAAGAGGCAGATGGATGTAAAGGAATTTCAGTGTCCAAAACAGGAAAGTGGCACAGGGAATAAAACAGTGAAAAAAGAGGAAGAATACTGGAGGATTGTGCATTTTAAGTTTGCAGAGGTATAATTCCTAGAGAGAGAATGAAAGATTTTTTGCCGTATTCGTGAAAAGGGAGAGGAGGATGAGTTCAGGCCTATTAAATGAAGGGTAGAGAGAGAAATGGGTCTTGGTGTTTGACGTCAAAGAGATAGGGACCTAATCTACTCACCTTGAGGTATCTTATTTATTACATCCTTAACAGACAGAAGAAGGCAACGCATCCATTGAAATGTCAGCAGTGGAGGCAACTTTGGGAAATGCTATTTAAATTAAATTTTTAGGCGCTTGAGCCCCTAGTTTTGTAAATAAATTTTTTAATTTTGATTGGTCAGAATTAAATGTTTATCTTATTAAAAAATTAAAACAATAACAACATCAACCCTTTGTCCCAATATGTGGGGTCGGCTATATGAATCCTTTTCTACATTGTGTTTTGTTAAAAGTAAAATTCTCATCTAAATCTAATAAAGAAATATCATTTCTAATATTTTATAACAAAGTCTTTTTAGGTCTACCTCCATCTTTCTTAACATAAGTCAAATATAATACATCTACTTTCCTAACCGGGTCATCGGACGGCCATCATTTTTTGTGACCAAATCATCTAAGGCGACACTCTCTAATTTTATCTTCTATTGGAGTTACTCTAGCTTTTCTAGTATATGCTCATTTCATGTCCTATCTCTAAGAGCAAAGCTACTAATCCACATGAGCATCCTCATCTCTACAACATTTAATATTATGCTTCTCTTTTAATGGCTAACACTCTGCATCATAAAACATTGCATGTCTCACTATTATTTTTTAGAAATTTCTCTTAAGTTTGAGTAGTACTTTTTCTATCACACAACAAGCTTGCTGTATTCCTCCACTTTAACCATCCAACTTAAATTCTACTAATAATATCCCTAACTATTTCACCATCACTTTGAACAATAAACCCAAAATATCTAAAACGTGTACTTTTATTAATGACTTGATCACCCAAAGTCACAATCTCCTCACTAGATCTATTATTATTAAAATTACACTCCATATATTCAATTATAGAACTACTCAAATGAAAGCCTTTAGACTCTAAGGTTAACCTCCATAATTCAAGTTTACCTTCAACTTCCTATCGAAGTATTATTAACAAGAAGAATATTATCATAAAAAAGCATACATTGAGGTACAACCTCTTGTAAATGTTTAGCGAGAACATCCTTGAATAAAACATAAAGATATGGGCTTAAGGCTGATCATTGATGTAATCCTACTGAAATAGGAAAATACTTGTTCTAACCACCTTGGGTTGGAACACAATTAACAGTGCCTGCATACATATCCTTAATGCCATGAATATAAGCAACATTAACCCCTTTCTTATGTAGAACTCTCCATAACACTTCTCTTAAAACTTATCATATCCTTTCTCTAAATCAATAATAATCATATATGGATTCTCCTTGTTCTCTAAATACTTCTCCTTCAAATCCCTCAATAAGTGTGACGTCCCAGACATCTATAGTGAAAGGATTCGTCTGACATTCTTTTTCTTCTTCTTTTTTTTTTCTCAGATCAATACAGACATCCAGAAATGATAATTGCATTACAGAAAATAAATACATCAAAATACTATAATTCACATTTCGACATTTCATATACACAGTTCAAAAGAACATGTATATCCAAACGAACATGTACAATACCCACTCGGGCTACAAAATAATGCGAGAACAAAAAACTACGAAAAGACTATACTAGCATCTGACAGAAGCTTCACGCAGGAGGTTCTGCACCTGAAATTATTAACCACATATAATGAGCTTAAATAGCCCAGTATGTCACCAAAGCCTACCACTAAAATCAAAGCACGATACAGAAACAATATGCATGTCAACCAATCAAATCAATAACAATCACTTACACATGATCATTGAATCAATGCAGGTACGAAAATCAGTACAGAAACAGTAATTAATGTAGTAACGAAAATCAATGTATAAATAATAGAATCCAAAATCATTAGTGATAGAATCAGTGAACAGTAGAAAATCTATAATGTTCAATAAATCAGTACGTGCATCAAATCTCTACAGCAGTCATCTTATTTATCCCATCAGTCTATAACATCAGTCGAGTCAATGAAGTAGAATTGTATCACAGCATACCAACATACACTTGCAAACTCCAGATATTTATCACTTGCTCAATTAATCATATGCAACCCAAAAAATCAATATCCCGTGCTTAGTGAATCACATGTCACTTGCTCAGTATATCACGTGCATAAAGTTAGTACAGTGAATCAGTAGCAGCAGCGTAGGTATCCATATCAATAATAATCCAGTGACGACAATAACGATTATACGATAACAGTGAAATCGTGTAGTAACAGTAAATCCGTAAATCTGTCAAATCAAATATGATTAACATCACTCAATCATATCAATAGAATCAATCAGATCAATAAAGAAATACTTCCGGTCAATAATGTCAAATGATATGAAATCACATAAAACAATCAAATTAATAATAATAATGAAAAGCAATCAAATCTATCAATACAGTAAAATCATATTCTAGATCACGTGTTCAATGTATCACATGAATCACATGTATCGGTCAGTATTTGGTGTATCATGTGCTATAAGATCAGTAAAATGAATCAGTAGTATTAGTGAATCAGTAGTATCAGTATCGGTATCAGTATCTGTAGTATCAATAAATCAATAGTATCAATAAGTCTATAGTATCGATGAATCAATAATATTGGTACCCATAAGATCAATGAATCAATGAATCGATGCAATATCAATATCCATATCAATATCTGTAATCAGTGACATGTACAATATGAAATATCAATGAAATCGAGCAATGACAGGGAACTCATAAATCTGTACAGAATTCAGATAATCATAGAAATCATATATAATAAAATGAAATAAGATATTCAGATACTTGATTAGAATCAAACAGCTGATACATAAGAACTGAATTTATTTTGAATAGTATAATATTCAAGTCAGATTTCGCAGAACCAACGAAATCGTACAGAACAAATTTCCAACGATTTCGCAGAACCAACAAAATTTCCACAAAATTCACAAATTCAAAAATCACCAAATTACTATAAATCATGTAAAACAACGTTACAAAGCTTTACTTGTACTGAAGCAATATTTTTCAACACCCAAATAATTTTCTATTCGATAAAAAACGCACAAAATTCAAAATATATGGTAAAAACTTTCCAGAAAATATTCAAATCGTGCAAAATCATCAGTTTAATAACATACCAAAAGTTACACGGTAAAAGTTTCGTCAATACAAAGATATGCACATTTTTCGGTAACGGAAACACAAAACTGAGAAGAAAAATACCAAAACTCAACTTTGAAATCAGAAATAGGATTTAGATTCCTTACTACGAGACGAACAATTCTTTCAACAGCGGCGTCGGACGAAAAGTGCACCGCGAGCTCTAAAACCCAACTTCTTCTTTCTCTTTCCTTCTCTTTCTCTCTCCTGCCTTTTTCTCCTTTTTCAAAAAATATCTCAAAATATCTCAAATCCTCAATTTATCGAGCAGGATCGTCCCGGACGATTCCCATTCGTCCCGGGACGACCTCCTCTTCACTCAAAACGTCCAGACGAAATTAATTCTAATTTTCTTCGTCCATGGACGAAACTCTCTGTTCGGTTCGTCCCGACGGTTCGTCTCGACCCTTACAGGTTCATCCAGACAAACCATACAGATTTCTTCACAATTTTCTTCAGTTCGTCCCGTACTATGGCCAGTTCGTCCGGACTAACAACACTAAAAAAAATCAGCTTCGGAGGAGTTTTACAATAAGTGTATATCTTTCATAGTAGACTTAATTGACATAAATCTAAATTAATTTTGAGAAACATTAGTGCCACACCGCAACCTATGCTCCATAACTTTCTCATAGTTTTAAAGTATGACACATTAACTTAATTCACGGACCAAGTCATAATGCACATACAATTGAGAAGGGCTATAGGAGGTTGAAGATGACACCAGGATCATTCTTTCCCTCCAATTTCTTAGTCTTGATATCGTTGGATGGCTATGTATACATCCTCTAATAGCTCTGAGGTTTTCAATCTTAGTAGTTCATTCTTCAAACGATTAAGATATCGAGGTTTCATATGGTCCGCTATGCTTTAAGTGACCAATCCCATGTTGTCACTTGGAAAGTGCATGTATAGTCAGTAACTGACAGTGTGAATAGCTTAATACATGAATTTAAGTTGTATTTAATGACCATAATTTCAAAAAAAACTCATAACTCCTTATCTAGTGAACCAATTTAGACAAATAACTCCTCTATGGATTTAGAATTTAAATTCCTTTCTAATGAACCTATTTTAAAAGTCTAATGATTAATATTTTTATGGAAATGTTATGTTTATACAAATGCATTATTCTCATTATTAATGGTCTTAAACACATTATATAAAAGTCAAATTTGGTTTGGGAGCTCTTAGGGATGTGCTAAAAATCCCTAATTTTTCCCAAGATAGTTTAAGTAATTCACTATACTATGTGGAATTTCCAAAATATTATAAGGGGCTGTTTGGTTGGAAGTAAAGTGAGTGTAAATTAAATGAAATGCTGGGTTTTAAGAAGTTTGGTGTTTGATTGGATGAAAAATAAATCCAAGGTAAAATAAAGTGAATGCAATGTATTGTATTCTAGATCATTTTTGAGGTAATTAAACTGTTCTTGCCCAGTTTTGAGCGAGAACTATTTACACTGCTCAAAAACTTCCTTGACCACCAACGACAACCACAATCTCCACCACAACCTCACCGTTGCCTGCCAGTAGACACAATCCACCGCTTGCCACTAGCCACAATCCACCTTGATTCACTTGATAACTCCTTCCTTTGACGACGTTTCTACATATCATCGGATCTGAAACCACACATCCTCACTGTTCTCTATTGGATCGAAAGTAATGACGAAAATGGGAACTTGCACTTTCTCGCTGCCAAAGTAGCCATCTTTCTTTCTTTTGTGCGCTTCTTTTGCCAAATCATGTTAAATCCACCGAATGACGAGATTTAAATTTAGGTGGATTTACTCGGATTTACATCGTAAATCTGTAAATCAAGGATTTATGCAGGCGTCAAATTTACGCGACCTCTAAAAACCATTGGCTATATTTACCTTAAATCCTGCTTAAATCTCGAGGTAAATCCGATACCAAACAGCCCCTATGGTCAGCATGAAGGATAAAACCACCACTTCAATTTTTCCCCTTGCTTGATAACTTCGAAATACCGCAGCTGCTGAGATTTAATTATGCTTTGAACAATGCAAACTTCTGGCATCGCTGAGGCATTTTCATTGTGGCCCCTAACATTTAAGTTCTTTATATGAACTATAACAAAAAAAATATAACATGAAAAATCCTGACAAGCCTCACACTCATGCTCCCCTATTCTTCTGACAGTCTTGATCAACCTCCATTCGTGCTCCCTTGCTCTGACATGAAATTGTTAACCACATATAATGAACTTCAAAAAGCCCAGCACGTCACCAAAGCCTACAAATGAAATCAAGGCACGGTACGGAAGCAATATGCATGTCAATCAGTCAAATCATAGCAGTCAGTTACACCTGATCATTGAATTGATGCAGATCGATACGAAAATCGGTACATAAATAATAATCAATACAACAAAAATCAATGTATAAATAATATCAATACAAAAATTGGAATCAATGTAGATACGAAAATCAGTACAGAAATAGAAATCAATGTATAAACAATATAATTCAAAATCATCAGTGATAGAATCAGTGAAGAGTAGAAAAATCCATAAAGCTCAATAAATCAGTACGTGAGTCAAATCTCTATAGAAGTCGTCTTATCTATAACATCAGTCAAAGCAATGTAGTAGAATCATATCAAAACATACACTTGCCAGCAATTCCAGTTATTCAATATCACTTGCTTAATAAATCATATTCAATTCAGTAATCTATATCACATATATAATGTAAGTACAATGAATTAGTAGTAGCAGCATATGTATCAATATCAGTAACGATCCTGTAATGACATGAACGATTATGCTATAATAGTGAAATCATGTAGTAACATTAAATCCGTACGATAACAATAAATCCTCAGTAAACGAATCACAATAAATGAATCGGTACTAGTAATCTGTCAAATTAAATACGATTAACATCACCCAATCATATCAATAGAATTAATTAGATCAATAACGAAATCAATTCCGGTAAAATCATATAAAACGATCAAATCAAGAAATCAATAAGAATAATTAAATCAATCAATACAGTAAAATTATACTCTATATCACAAGAATCACATGTATCTTGTTCAGTGTATCAAGTGCTATAAGATCAGTGTAATGAATCAATGTATCAGTGGATCAGTAGTATCGGTATCGGTATCTGTAGTATCAATGAATCAATGCAATATCAATGAAATCGTACAGTAACAATAAACTCATAAAACAATCAGTAAATTCATTCAATATCAATAAATCAATTCGAAATCACTAAATTTGTTGATATCAATAAATCAGTAAATCCATTCTGAAATCATAAGAATAATACTGTACACATGCAATACAATACAGTAGCCTTACTTAACAAGTACAATCACTGGCTATTAAGGCATTTTTCGGGGTTAGTATTGATGTTAGTAATCCGTTGGCTCAGTAGAGTCGCCACTCTTTGCCCGTCGGCATAAACTCCTTATGACTCCCATCGTTGTATCACGTGATCAATAGAGGATTACAACAAACCATATTTAAAGGAAAGCTCGTCGGCCCACAATCCTGTACAGGTCCAATCTCCAACCAACAGTTCAACCAGCCTTTATGCAATAAGTAAAAGACATGACTATTACGGTGTTTTTCAGTCTTGGAATATCGATGTATCGTTGTATCCGTTGGCTCAATAAGAGTCGTTACCCCTGCCCTTCGGCGTAGTAATCTCCTTATAACTCCCTTCGGTAATCACGTGATCAATAGAAGATAACGCCAAACCCTTTTTAAAGGAAAGCCCGTCGGCCCACCATCCTGTACAGGTATCATCTCCAACCAATGGTTCAACCAGTCTTCACTTGTATTTCAATAATAATAACAATAATTCAATAATATATCCACATTCATGTACATCTCATTAATACATAAAAATCAACAAACACAATTTCACTCAAAAAAAGAGAATCCTTAAAATATCGTACAGTCGACAGAAATCCCAAACAGAGTCAAAATACACAGTTTTAGAAAATCACCAAATTACCAGAAATCAAATAAAACAACATTTCAAAGCTTTACTTGTACTGAAGCAATAATTTTCAACATCCGCATAATTTCCTATTCAATGAAAATCCCACAGAAATCAAAATACCCGATGAAAACTTTCCAAAAATACTTAAATCGTTCAAAATCATCATTTCAATAACATACCAAAAGTTACGCGGTAAAAGTTTCGTCAATACAAAGATATGCACGTTTTTCAGTTACGGAAACACAAAATTGAGCAGAAAAATATCAAAACTCGAAATCTTCGAAATCAGAAATAGGATTCGGATTCGTTACTGCAAGACAAACAAATCTTTCAACTGCGTCGTCGGACGAAAAGCGCTCCTCGGCCTCCGAAATCAAGCTTTCCTCTTCTCTTTCCTTCTCTTTCTCTCTCTTCAAATGATTCAAAATATCTCAATCCAATATATATCCATTCAGATTATCCCGGACGATCTGAATTCGTCCCGGGACGATTTGCCTTCTGGACGAATTTCGTACGTATGAGTACAGTTTTTGTCCATAGACGACTTGCTCTCTGGAAAAATTTCGTCCTAACGGATCGTCCCGACTCTTACAGGTTAGTACAAACAAACCATACAGATTCTTCACAATTTTCTTCAGTTCATCCCGTACTAAAGTCAGTTCATCCGGACTAACAGCACTCACAAAAATGAACTTCAAAAGGGTTTTACACCTATCCTGATCTGAGATCATTTAACCACATATAATGAGCTTAAAAAGCTCAATAGGTCATCAAAACCTATAACTGAATTCAAGCACGGTAACAGAGAAATATGCTCGTGAATAGTTAAATTATGGTAGTTATAATCATATGATCATTGAATCAATATAGAAACAATAAAATTCACAAGAAACAATAGTATAATCTGTAAACAGTAAAACACTACAATATAAAAGTTGGTAAAATAGTAAACCAATATGAATGTTAAACCTATAAAGCAATCGTCATATTCATAATATCAATCATTATATAAATTATACAAAGTATCAAATCAATATATCAGTAAAGATAGTTGAAATCAAGTCAATGCAATAAAATCATATAAGACTGTATACGTGTTATCTAGGCATTCTCTATCACGTCCTTAGCAGGGGCGGAACTGTTCACATGTGAGGGGGGGCAATTGCCCCCCCTTAAAAAAAATTATTAGAGAGGGCAATTTAGTAACTTGACCCCAAAAAATTTATTATTTTGCCCCCCCCTTTGCCCTAACCCGCCGAATCCACGACCATGAACTCGGGTTAGGGCGGGTTAGGGCAAAGGAAGTTTTCGATGATTCGCCGTTCGCGCAAGAGAGGAACTCGTCATCTACTCATCTGGCTTCGTGAATCGCAAGGCTTCGTTGTCGGCAGGATCCCTTCGTGGCTTGACTGCAGGCTTCGTGAGTTCGTGAATCGCAAGGGCTTCGTGAGTTCGTGAATCAGTGAGATCTATGCAGTTATTTTTTGTTTGATTTTTTGTTATTTTGATGGATTTTCATGCTTTGTGGTATTTCATATTATCATGGATTCATGGTGGCTCTTCAATTTTTTTTGGGATGAATGAGGATATACCCTAATCAAAGTTTCATCATAATAAATTTGAAAATCATTAAATTTATTTTGGGATGAAAATAATATATTATTAACTCTAAGATGATCCTTTTGAAAGACTTGAAAGATTGAACATTATGCCCGATAGAAAGAAATATGCAGTCACTAAGGGATCATTTGTTTGCTAGTGGATAGAGAACATATTTTAATTAAAACATGAAATTTGTACCATCATTTAGTTGAATATGAGAACAAATAAACTTGAATTTAAAACTTCACAAACCTGTTGCTAGCAAAGATTTTGTTCAAACAAAAAGAGAACAAAGAATGAACTGTTAGCAGAAGCTTATGTGGAAAAATTTCATGAGAAGAACAGAAAAGGTGATTTACTACAACTGATGAATTTTCCTTATAAAGGTTATAAGAGCAACCAAAAAGATCGAAATGAATTTTTACTTAGATTTTTGAAAAAGAAGATTGCCTAGTTGAAGCTCTATTCATGCTTAATCTTTTACAATGAAAACATAAAGGAAATATCATTTGTTCAATTTCAGTTTATTAGCATTGTAGGAGTCATCATTCCTCTTAAGTAGTCATTTACAAAACATAATATTTATAGATATATTAGAAACTTCGTATTTTATATAATATTTTGATTGACGGTTACTCTTCTTTGGTAATAAATTTTATTTTAGGATTTAGAGAAATGGAGCGTTATTTAAAGAGGAAAGAACGAATAGAAATTAATGCTAACAATCTCCCAGCAGATCGAGGACTCCAACTTCCTATTTGGAGTTATGATGTAATGATAGAGATAAGATTCAGAGATCATATCTATTAAAGGGACTACATCAACTGAGAAGTCATCAATTTCCCCAAACTTTATATAGAAATATTGCACGTAGGTTCAATCCGAATTGGTTTGATGAATACTCTGATTGGTTAGAGTACAGTGTGGAGAAAGACGCTGTTTACTGTCTTTATTGCTATCTATTTAAACCTCAAGAGCAGATTATTAAAGGTAAAGGTGGTGGGGATTCATTTATTGGAGAAGGTTTCAAAAATTGGAAGAAGAAAGAAAAATTATTATGTCACGTTGGAGATCACAATAGTGTACATAATAAAGCTAGACAAAAATGTGAAGATCTGTTGAAGAACCAAGAACAGAGTGTTCCAGCTTTATGGTTAAGCAAAGATGACAAGAACAAAAAATAATATATGATCATGTTGACTGCAGCCATTGATTGTGTTAGATTTTTGTTACGTCAGGGATTATCATTTCGTGGGCATGATGAGTCTTCCAATTCAGATAATCGAGGAAATTATTTAGAGCTACTTGATTTTCTAGCTGATCATAATGAGGAAATTAAGATAGTGGCATCTCAATATGCTAGCTCCAATCTGAAGTTAACTTCACCAAAAGTCCATAAAGAAATATATTTTGCTGCATTAGCTCAAACTTTAACATATATAATGAAAGATATTGGTAACTCATACTTCTTTCTTATAGTTGATGAATCCCGTGATATTTCTACAAAAGAACAACTTGTTATTGCAGTGCGATATGTGGATAAGTTGGGCCAAGTGATTGAAAGATTTATAGGCATCAAACATGTCACATCAACTAATATAGTTACACTGAAGGTAGCCATTGAAGATATTCTAGCTAAACACTCGTTGAGCATACATAGGATACGTGGTCAAGGTTATGATGGGGCATCCAATATGAGAGGGGAATTTCATGGTTTAAAGGCCATAATTCTAAATGATAACCCTCAACCATTTTATGTTCACTGTTTCGCTCATCAACTCCAACTATGTTTGGTAGCAGTGGCAAAAAATCATTGGCAAGTAAAACAACTTTTTGAGTTCACTTCTAGAATAATTAATACTATTGGGGTTTCTTTTAAGAGACCAGATGCTCTTAAAAGTATTCAGCATGAGAAAGTACTTCTTCATCTTAAAAATGGAAATCTTATAAGTGGCAAAGGTTTGAATCAAGAGACAAATTTACAAAAATCTAGTGATACTCGTTGGAGTTCACATTTGCATTCTCTGATTAGTCTTATGCATATGTATGCTTCTGTGATCGAGGTGCTAGAGATTGATAAGGATGAAGGGGTTCATGATCAGCAATCAGTTGAAGTGGGTGTTCTAATTGATATAATGGAGTCTTTTGATTTTATCTTTTCAATGCATTTGATGATTGATATATTGGGCATTACGAATGAGTTATCACAATCATTGCAAAGAAAAGATCAAGACATTGAAAATGCTATGAAATTGGTTTAATTCTAAACAATGACAGCAACTTCTAAGGGAGAATGGATGGAATGGTTTACTAGATGAAGTATCCCGTTTTTGTGGTGTTTTTAAAGTTATTGTTCCAAACATGAATGAAACATATAAAACTCGTCGTAGATTAGTAAGAGGAGGTGAAGATAAAATAAATCTACATCATTATCGTATTGATTTATTTTATACAGTAGTTGACATGCAACTTCAAGAGCTAAACAATCGCTTTTCTGAATCAAGTGCTGAGTTACTTTTGTGTATGTCATGCTTAAACCCAAGTGATTCTTTTCGTGCTTATGATGAAAGGAAATTGATATGTCTAGCAGAGCTATATCCAAGCGATTTTTCTATAATTGAGGTTATTGCTCTTAAAAATCAATTAGCAATGTACATCATCGATATGCGGACCAGTGAAGAGTTCTCCTCTCTAAGAAGCATTGTTAATCTTGCAAAGCAGATTGTTAAGTTCAAGAAGAATGATGTGTATCCTTTGGTTTACAAACTTATTACTTTAGCATTAACCTTACCAGTTTCTACTATTACGGTGGAGAGAGCATTTTTAGCTATGAAAATTATCAAACATCGATTGCGTAGTAGGATGGGTGATGATTGGCTCAACGATTGTCTTGTGCCTTACATTGAAAAAGATGTATTTGATTTGATTCCCAATGAAGATGTTATCCAATATTATCAAAAAATGCAAAATAGATTGATAAAATTGTAATGATTTTCAATTTTCCTATTATAATGGAATACAAGATTTCATTTTGACTTATGTCCTCTTTTTTTTATATTAGTCTATTACTAAGAAAATTTTGCCCCCCCTAAGATGAAAGGCTGGTTCATGCTTAATATCAATACAGTGAATCAGTAGTATCAAATAATATCAGTATCTATATTAGTAACAATATTAATCCAATGACAAAAGCAGTATAGTAATGCAATAACAATAAATCTATGTAGTAGCAAAAATTCATACAGTAATAAAAATAATATCTCAAAAATATGCATTTCAGTAGTCACACTAAATAAGTAAGAAGTCCTGATTATCACTGTGTTTTTCAATGTTATTAACTATTGGCTCAGTAAATAGAGTCGTCACCCTTTGCCCATCAGCATAGTAATGACCTCCTTATAATTTTCAATCAGTGTATCACGTGAATTAGTATAGGATAACATCAAACCATAATATTTAAATGAAAGCTCATCAGCCCACCATCCTGTACAGATTAATCAGTCTCTAACCAACGGGTCAACCAGTCTTTACTTTTATATTTCAAGTACATACATTATTTTCAGAATACTATAATAGGAATAGCTATCATCTATTACTAAAGCACATATTCATATCCATTTTAATGCATTGCAACAAATAGTACATAATTGAGCTTAATTAAGAAGATGCCAAAATGTCATAAATGTATACAACAAAGAATCCTATTAGGTAGAAATGCATATTTTAAGAAAATTATCAAATTATCATGGATTGTATAAAATGATATTTTAAGACTTTTATTGTACTACACTATTATCTTTAGAGGTCAAAATAAATTTTGGAGTAGAAAAAAATCACTGTATTTTTAAAATCACCCTATAAAAAATCTCAAATAAATACTCAAAATACTCATAATCATAATCTCTATAACATACAAAAAATTGTGATGTGAAAGTTTTGTCAATACAAAGTTATGCACATTTTAACAAAAATACAAATTTGAGCGAAAAAAATATCAAAAACATAAAATATTTGAAATAAAAAATAGGGTATGTATTCCTTACAGTGAGACGAGAAAATCTTTCAACTGGCCCGAAGGACGAAAGTCACACGGAGGCCTCCAAATCCAAATTTCCCTTTTCTTTCTCTTTCTCTTTCTCTCACTTTTCCCTTAAGGCTCTCTCTCTTGCGGAAAAGAGAAATGGGAAAAGGTTTTAAAACAACTTTTTAATGCCCTAAGATATTTATATAATATAATAATATAATATTCATTTAATAATTAATTAAATCAATTCTATAGTATTAAATTCAAATAAATTATTTTAGAATTAAAAAAATTACAGAAAAATATTCATAAAATAAATCATGTTATTTAAAAAATATTGATGAAATCGGTTTGTAAAACGGACATCTGAAGGTCCTGAAATCATCACTTGTACCGATAAGTACAAATTCCTTAAGGATTTTCACCGGTGCTAAAAAATGACGAAAAAAATCATGTAAGTAAAATACTTCAATCAAAATATCATGGCGAAGATGGTTTATTACACAGAGGAGAGAGAGAGAGAGGGACTCGGGAAAAGAATGAGTAGATTTACTAGATGTTTGCGACAAATCCTAATTATCGATCACAAATTTGATCATAATGAATGAGCTAGCATTCTTGCAACATATATTTTTTTTAACATTTAGGCCAATTAATGCAAACTCACACGCACATTACATACGTAAGATTGAAATCTAATACCTCTTAGTTAGTAGCCAAAATTATCTCTTTGTTTGTATTATCTCTTTGTTGTTTCTTAAAACAGCTTTTTAGTACAATTATTTTATTTTTATACCAAAATGTTGCTTTAAGAAATATTAAGAAAGTTAGTCTCAAATGATACCTAAATTCATAACTTTCAAATATATATATAGAACAGTCAGATGTGGTCAAAATAAAATGCGAAAACACAAATGGAATAATGAGATTCTAATGAACTTATGACTAAAGACTAATAGCACTAAAAACAATACAAGCCTCATAAACACTTAACGTTTACTGGATTGTGTAGCCAATGATTAGAGCTTGCTATCTTCTCAGGGTTTGAATGTTTGAACGAGCAATTTATTCATTGCCAAACAAAATTTTAAAATATTGCAATTTAACACCACCTTCCACTTCGATTTGGCCACATTCCTCCTTATTTTAAGCTAAGTAGGTTTATGTCATGCTCATATCCGAAATTTAAGCCCAGATTATAGGAAAAAAAATGCCATACTTCATTTGGAGTTATATATAGGATTTTGAAAGTTCAACGGAGTTTATTTTGACTTAGGTTTTGTTTGGGACGATTTTCTTATTGCTTCTTAAAACTGTTTTCTAATACAAAATTTGTAATTTTTATACTAAGAAGCTGTTTTAAAAAGCATGAAGAAAGCTGTCCCAAACAAAGCCTTAGATTTCGTTTGGGACAACTTTCTTGCTATTTCTTAAAGCAGCTTTTTAATATAAAAATTTTAATTTTTATACTAAAAAGCTGCTTTAAGAAGTAGTATAAAAGCCGTCCCAAACGAAGCGAATATATTATTGTTTCTTGAAGCAGTTTTTAATATAAAATTTTTAATTTTTATACTAAAAAATTACTTTAAGAAGCAATAAGAAAGCCTTCCAAAACCAAACCTTAAAAATCATGAAAGTGAAAACTAAATTATGTCAGCATAATTTTATATGTTTTATATTATAATGAGCTTTAAAGCTCTTGTTTTATATTGAGATTAATGTTACATGCATAATGTTTTGAATTATACTAATTCTAATATAAATTTAAGTTTTTTAAAATCTATAGTGATACAAAATACATCGGTCAATTTTTGCTGAAAAATTCATTACATCTGTATGAACTTCCACTTTATTATCATGAGCCCATAAAAAAATATGAAATTTATCAGAACTTTCTTAGGTGCCCAATACTTGACACATAAGAATTTCTTATTAGCCAATTTTTACTGGTAAGCCAAACATTGTAGTCGCATCTATCACGATCATGAAATCACTGTGAAAGTCTTTCTAGTGAATGCAAATGCAACATATTTGTAGTAGTTCCTAAACTGCTGCAAAGAATTTAGTAGGTGTTTTAACCGTGAATTTGATTGTCTTAGCTTGAACTAGGCTAACTTACTGGATGAAATATTTCTAATGAGTGGTTGTTCATCATAAGCTTGGAATGATTCGATTGTTCCCTAATCAGACCCTTAAGACATTTGAGGATACACCACCTTCTTGAAAAGCTCTAAAAGAATTATAGAGTGAATGCTTGCCAAAGCTTTCCTTCCACTAGTTCAATTGAGTTTGTGTAACATTTTACCTATAACCTAGATTATGTTTTTTTCGGCATTTTTTTAAGGGAGCATATTTAAATGCGAATATTAAAAAAAATTAGGAGCTATGAGCCCAATGCTTGGGCAACTTGCTCCCATGTTCAAGTCACCCAAGGTGTGTTGATACTTAACTCAATACGAACCCGACGCCGAATCGAGAATTTCGTAGTTCATGTCAACCTGTTTGTTAGACGGGTCGGGTTCGGATTTCATTTTTTAAACCGTTTCAAACATTGGGTCAGATGTGAGCGTGTTGCGAGCACTGGTGCGTGTACGAAGTGAACGCGAGTGAGGCTGCCAGTTCGAGCGAGGGGTCGAGCACAAGTGCCCGAGGGCAAGGTAGGCCACACCACAGACAAGCCGTGAGTGTGATGTGTTGCAGGTAGGGCTAGCAGGCGTGGGCGGTTCGGGATGCGGGCATATCCGGTTTGAATTCAGGTTACAGGATTGACCCGGACACAACTTGAATCTTAAAACGGGTAAAAATCAGACCCAAATCCGTCCCATTTGCTAAACGAGTCGATCAAACTTGAATTTTTCTGGTTATTTTAAAGTCGGGTTATCGAATCGTGTCATTATTTGACACCCCTAACATTCAATTTGATAAATCAAACATCCCTTTAAAATCATTGACTTAAAGACAAAGCATATTCTCAAAAGACAAAATTCTAAAATCAGTTGCCAATCCTGCATTTTTAGTACTATATATGGTCTCAAAAAATGACTATGATTGTGATCCAATTTCAAATTATGTTATATTTTAATTCAAATAATAGCAAATAACTGCAAAAATATTTTCACAGTTATATGATGCAAAAAACTTCTCAATCATAAAACAATGGGAAAAGAAACGGTTTCCCCAATAAATTATTATTGCGAAGGGAAACGGGACAACTTTTAGTCTATGGGGACCTCCATAACAAAAAGCTGTCGCAGAGCAAAGCAATGGAAGATGCCTAGATCCCCATAACTTTTTCCTCACTTACATTACATGCCCTTTGCTGGCTTTCTTTATTTTTTTTCCTATATTTCTTTATTTAAATGTTGACTGGTTTCTCATTTTGGGTATTTTGCTCGGGACTCCTTGGCCTCTCTGATTCTGGTGGGGTCTTGGTCTGGTTTTGGGAAAATTATTAGGTCCGGACACCAGTCCTAGAAATAGGTCCGGATATCCAATAAAAATTTGCCACGTGGATTGCACTTTGACTGTGCTATGACTGTGCTTTTGACTGCGTTTTACCTGCTCTTTTGACGTGATTGACTTAAAATTCCGCGGACACATGTGCATTCCACATGTCAAATTTTTAGTGGGTGTCCGAACGTATTTCTAAGTCCGGTGTCCAGACCTAATAATTTTCCCTGGTTTTGGGACCTTCAAGTTTCTTTCTTTGGATGCAAAAACTTTTTGAACTAAATTTTTTTAATTAGAAAATTGCTTTAGAACAATAAGAAAGCTATTCCAAACAAAATCATAAATTTAAATGTGATGTATAAAAATTTTAAATTGTATAATAGTTTTATTTTATATTTATTAAAGAAATAAATGTGTAAACATAATTGGATGTAAAATA